GGGATTTGAGGAGAAGGGTCCAGAGTGGGTCTGGAAGTTGCGCAAGTCGCTCTATGGCCTGAAGCAGGCTGGGAGGCGCTGGCACGAGAAGCTGAATGAGGTGCTGACTGAGAAGCTGGGCTTTGTGCGCCTGACTTGTGAGCATAGCGTCTGGGTCTTTGGGAAGGAGGATGTGCGTATCATCATTCCTGTCTTTGTCGACGACATGACTATTGCAGCCAAGTCTTCTGCTGCGATCCAGAAGGTCAAAGACGACTTGAGGCAGCACTTCAAGCTTTGGGACCTCGGTCCCACTTCATGGCTTCTAGGCGTCGAGATCAAGCGTGACCGCTCCACTCGCACTCTGACCATCTCCCAGCGCCAGTACATTCTTGATATCTTGCAGCGCTTCAACATGGCTGACTGTGACTCTGTCTCTACTCCTATGGACCCTGGCTCGAAGCTCAGTACGTCCATGTCCCCTCAGACTCGGGCTGAAGAGCTGGAGATGCGCTCTGTGCCCTATATCAATGCCGTAGGTGCCTTGGCCTATCTTGCTGTTGCAACGCGTCCAGACATTGCGTATGCTGTTGGAGTCCTGGCGCGCTTCAGCAAGAACCCTGGGAAGCGCCACTGGAGAGCTGTTAAGCATCTCTTCCGCTACTTGAAGGGTACTCTGGACTTGAAGCTCACTTACTCTCCCTCGTCGTCGCGTGAGCTGTTCTCCACCTTCACTGATGCTGATCACGGCGGCAACCCAGACAACGGTCGCTCTACCAGTGGCTATGTGGTCAAGATGGGTACTGGAGCAGTCTCTGTCCAACTGGGAAGCTGGCAGGCGTCCAGATACACACAGAGATGCCTGAGTCAAGCTCTATTAATGCTAAGGAAGTACAGAAATATACAGAGGGACATACCTGAGTCAAGCTCTATTAATGCTAAGGAAGAGAGCTTGACTCAGGAGCGCATTTTCGCTCTTCTGGGAGCGTGGGAACCAACTGTACAGTATGGGAAATGCAAGGGAAAAGCGCAGAGTTAAAGGGGCTAAGTCACCAGGGTAAAGGAAGCCAAAATAGCGAAGTGGTTACCACCACTAGCAGGGATGCATACCTGGAAGTTTTGGTTCAATCCCCAGTCAGCGCACTTTTACCTCCAATAACTCATACCTACAATGGTCCCAGAGAAAATCCACAATCATCATACGATACTCCCACAACCCTCAACAATCTCACTACAATGCCCCAAGGATCCTCCACAATCCTGCTATAATGCCCCAACAACCCTGCACAACAGGTCTACAATATCCCCAGAATCCATGATACAAACCTGCAATGCTCCTACAACATACCTACAATCATGCTACAATGCCCCCACAAGTCACCCTACAAAGCTACAATGCCCCCACAATCCTCTACAATGCCCCTACAATACCCCCTACAATACCCCTACAATGCATGATACATAGCTGCAATATCCCAACAACACACCTACAATCCATGTAAAATGCCCCCACAATCTGTGATACCAACCTACAATATCCCTACAGCATCTTTACAACACACTACAATAGCCCCGCAATACCCCTACAACAGGCTACAATGCCCCCACAAGCCCTGGTACAAACCTACAATATCCCAACAACATCCGCACAACAAGCTACAATACCCCCGCAACGGACCTACAATACCCCCACAATACCCCTACAAGACCTGTTACAAACCTACAATGTGACCACAATTACCCTACAATCCACCCACAATACCCCTACAATGAACCTACAAACCCACTACAATACCCCTACAATCCACCCTACAAAGCTACAATGCCCCCACAATCCACCCACAATACCCCTACAATCCATCCACAATGGACCTACAAACCCCCCTACAATGCCCCTACAACCCCCTGACTGAACCCACTACAATACCCCCACAATCCCATAACAATTTGTACCCTGGATTCATGACAAGCCAATTACTAGTGGCCCTTGGGTGTTGTCTGAAGCTAGTATCTTCCACAGCCACCACAGACATGCAGATACATACCTGTGTCCAAGTGTGTATGCTGCAGAATGTTTGACGGCAGTGATGGGGAGCTTTCTCACATCAAGGTATTAACAGAGAATGGTTCTGGTAGCACTGTAGTGCCCGTGAGATGCAAAGATCTGTCCTGAGTGTGACACTGGTGAGCTTATTGCATAATATGAACCACAAAGCAATGAGAATGCAACCAGGCCATAACAGCAGTGGAGAAGGAAGAGATGCAAGAAAAGGAAAGAAGATAAGGAGTGCTGAAGAACAAGAGCTCACATGTCTGGGCCTGCACTGCCCATATATGCACAGCTAGACAGGGAGGAACGGCAGCAATACGAGGGGTGATGATTGAGAAATGGAAATGAAATCAGAGTAGGTACTCACTTTCATCTGTTGACCCAGTACACATTGTTTTTGTCCACTCTGTGATACTCCAATGCATTGAGCATGCCCAAGAGGAATAACTCTTTGATGTGATGTCAAAGATCAAATCCCCTGATCACAATGAGAGCTATCCATACAGTAGAGTATAATCCACAGCCAATGTTATATGTCCCTCTGATACGGATACTATGTAGCATAGATGGCTACTTACTATAACTTGCTCTACCTTAGCTCCCGGCCATCAGCACATGCATTTCTGAGAGACATGAATGAAGATATTTCTAGTGGGCTGCTGTGACCCAGCCGTGATGCAGCATTCCAACCCTGAATTCGGACAGAATCCAGACAGCTCTGTGGCTGTATGTCTCTAGAACTCTGGTGTCTCATCTCATGGTGTACATGTCTTTTTGGCTCCAGTTCTTTCTCCGTGTGAGCACACCCTCCAAAGGGTTCCCCGATTGTGCAGGAGCTGGCTTATGTGGTAGGATCATGATGATGGACCTGGCCTCAATACGCTGCTATGTTTCCGCAATAATGACACTGCAGATTTTCCTCTGTTTCTATAGGTATTCAGTTATTTGTATTGCTTCAGTATTTGCCTATGTTGCTGTTCATGTAATGGCTGTTTGGCTGTTTTGTTTGCTTGCTGTCAACCAGTCTGAACCCTCCTTACTGATGCTATTGTGCTAGCATTGGCTAACATACTGTTACTATCACGGTTGAACCATTGACTCCCTTCTGGGATGCGCACTTGACTCCGCTCGCCACTGTGATGAGCTTGGGTTCGCCGTCCAACCCTACCCTGTCCCTGCCCTCTCGCCTTAGCTGCCCTGCAACAAGTATCATTTTCATTACAGGGAAATGCATCAAAGCAATGGGTATGCATTCTAAATGCTTATCTGTTATTTTACAGGTTTTGTACCACTTCTTCCGTCCTCTGTCTATCTGTCTTGCCGGGTGTTCTGCCAATGCAGCCAGATTGACAGGGCTGTCACTTGGCAATACCCTCATGCTGAGCGGACAGGACACAAGTATAGAGCTGATGATTATGTGAGTATTCTACTGTTGCTGGGTCCTGCTACTGCTAATATCTGATGCATGTATACAATAGACTTGAACCTAGGTGAGTGTTTGCATTGATAAGCCCCAGGATCGTCTGACCCCCGAAAACGCGGATTCAGCACATCATACAAGCGCCCCGGAGCTTATTCGACACAGCGCTCGCACGCCTCTAGGCTTCTATGGGCTCTAAAAGACTTTTTCTATTTAGCTCCGGCCTTCCTAACATCCTCGAGGCGTACACGGACCCATTCCGCGATTTATCTCCGCGCACCGAAGCTCAGGAGTGACTTAACCAATGCGACTTCTAGCTGAATTAGCTCCGGGACCCGCGGACACTTCTATCGAGGGGCATCGTCCTCATGCCCACCCTCCAGCACTCACTCCCCCTCATTTCCGTCAAGATACCGAAGGTGCGGACGCATACGAGTCACCATAAGGTCAGCATCAGTCAGCAAACGGCCGGAGGTAATTAACACGTGACCGGCATGTCGCACGGAGTGATGGGACCACTTGGGTCAGGTGGCGGAGCGTCGAGGCGACCTATAGGGGCTGGAAAGAGCAAGTGGGAGCGCAAGAGAGTCGTATGGTGTATGGTATAGCAGAGGAAAGTGCTGAGCAATCCTGTGGGTAGCGGTGTTTATTTGTTATTTATCTCCGGATGGTCGCAAAGCCATTCCTGTAGTATAAATTGTACAAAGTAGCGTACAGAAAAACAAGTTTCGACTTCACCATCTCAGAGAATTAGTGTTACGATCTCAGCGACCCGAGAAGTTCGAAAGCGTCGAACTTAGCGACTTATAACCGATCCTAGCTTTGCCAATAGGCCTGACTCGTCGAGAGAAATATCTCCGCCATCGATTTAACTAGTTCCGGTGAGGTTCACATAGCAAAACAAAATTGAGCAACTCTTTCTAGTGTCTTCTACTCCCGTGAGCCCGAACCTACACTCGGTTCCGTGGTTTGCGACTTTGCTTGCGCCGTTTCGGAGATAAATACTCCGGAGCGTCCATTAGTGTTTGTTTCAGGCGTCAAGGTTTTGTTTTATTTTTCTAGGTCTTCCTACGGACTACCCTACGTCGTCTTACTCCTCCTTTCCCCCTCGAACTATTAAATACCCTTCAGTTGTCTCGGACCGCCTTCACCCATATCACGGGGTTTAGGTTTATTTCTTTTGGTCCTTGGTGATTGTTGTGTGTCAGTGCTTATCAGCGTGTCTGGACATTTGCTATGCCTAAAAATGGCCTTGAATGCGAGTCAATGCATACAATCAGTATTCTATAAATTTATCATATTTTGTTGAGGCTCTATATGGTGGCATGCACCGCCACTGTTGAGGACAATGTGCGCGGCTGTCACAACTGGCTGGGTGATTCAGTGCTGGGGACGCTGGCTTCTCCGGTATCGTTCATTATGAGGACAGTAAGCGGTCCCGTTGGCAATGAGGTGCCCATATTAGTGATTTTATTGGGGCTTCCATCGTGCCTAGAGACAAGTGAGTACGGGATGTTGGGGCAAGTGTTACCTGGGTCCACGGCTTGTCCGTTACAAAGTATGGGAGCATATTCTCAGGCCGGCGAGCATCGAGTCATTTGCATTCTTGACGGAATATAGGACATTCCCAGTCCCAGCTGGCATGATCATGAGTGTGGCAGTTAGTGCAGTACCTACCGTCAGAGTTGCATGTAGCTGTCCTGTGGTTGCCGCCACAGGTTCCACGCATGTCAATGGGCAGTTGCGAGTGATATGACCATATCACTGGCATTTCACGCATCGGGTGGGCTTGGGAGTGTCGCGTCTGGCTTTGACCCATTTCTGGCAGATGACTAAGCCTTTGTTGACTGCGGCATTGGTGAAATGGGGCTGTTGGAAGTATAGTATGGCATGGGCGACTCTTTGGTGGGGGTGTCGCTTGTGAATTGGGCATATCCATTGGGCTCACGTGATTGACCTGGATGGGTACCCAATGAGTTCTTCCACTTCGCATAGGTCCTCAGGGCAGCTGGGGTTGAATTGGACAGGTACAAATTCTGCAACAACAGGGTATGGCTGAGGGTTGTGGATGATGGCATGGGCATGGAATCGCTCTTTGAATGCATCTGTGTTCTGTTGGATGAGGTCAGCGCCTTCGCGGGTACGTACCTCATAGAGGATGCTGCCAGTCGTCAGCTTGGTAGCGGCAGATATGTTGCAGGTGCATTGATTGTCGGGACAGAGGTCACGTATGACTTCATTCACTTTGTCGCAGAGAGTCTTATCTGCCAGTTTGACGAGATCCACGCGTGTTGGGGTCTTCAATGTCGATCAGTATCTGTCTCACCTTGATTTCGGCCTGTGCTCGGGCTTGAGTGATTGCAGGGGATGGTGTAGCTTCTTGAGTGGCAGGTCCGTGGTTGGTGACTGTGTTGCGGTATGTGGTGGATGCTGCATTAGCTGGGGTCATTGGGTGTACCTTGGATGTTAGCTTCTCCAGGGTTTCATCAATCTTTGTTAAGGCTGCATGTTTGAGGGCTTTGAATCTCCATCCCACAGTGTCGCAGACTGCTTTAGTCATTTCTGAGGTTTCTTCGTCCTTTAGGAGGTATGTGATGGCCTATACGGTCTCTTTGCAAGGGTTGCCGGTGTCTTTCAGTGCATCAAGGAGGATGCTTGATAGCCTCCCTAACCAGATTCCTTTGGTGTCAGTAACGTAGTTTGATTGAATGAGATATGACCGGGCTGTGTTGGGATCCTGGATGTTACTAGTCAGAGCCCATAGATCTGGCGCTGAGGTGCTGCGAAGGTTACATGGCAGAGGTGCTTCTGAGGTCTTCTTCAGTAGGGAGGATGCTATCTTGCCAGCTCTCCTCAACATACCTGGATTATTGAATTATGTATATTATGTAGTCTAGTAGTGATAGAGAGAAAAACGAGCCCAATGTTCGAGTGAGAGAAGTAGAGAGCCACCCAGAGAAGAAAATAGCTAGGAAATACTCTATGTCGACGCCTTGCCTTAGGGCCCCAAAAGGGTGCCAGCTGGTGTGGAGTCAAGAAGAGTCCAGTTTGTAGGGTTGTAGTTGAGATTTTGTAACAATTTTCAGGGTTGTAGTCACCATTTTGTGACATTTTGTAGGTTTGTGATGGGCGCTTTGGGGGACTTTGAACCACTTGTAGGGATTTGTATGAATTTGTGAACATGATTAGCTGGGTGTGTACTGGACAGGTGGGGTACAGGTTTTGGCAATTATCCCATTGGATTTCGGGCTATTTATTAGCAATAAATAATTTTTTCACCACCAGCTCCAAAAGTGTTTCTTTTTTGGTTTGCACCACCAATACATACCACAATGCTACGCCCTTTGGGGACCATACATACCCAATATTAGGCTACAGGTTTATTCCAGAGTCCGAGAGATTCTGACCAGATCCCATCCAGCTACTGCTTTCAGCTTATACCCCTCCTAGAACCTCTCCCTGGCTACCACTTTTGCTCCCTACAGTCTATATACCCTCCCCCCCAAACACAAAGATGTCACTACTCTACAATGGAGACATGTGATATACTCCTGCAAATGATGGCTAACTCTCGGACTCTGGAGTAAACCTGTAGCCTAATATTGGGTATGTATGGTCCCCAAAGGGCGTAGCATTGTGGTATGTATTGGTGGTGCAAACCAAAAAAGAAACACTTTTGGAGCTGGTGGTGAAAAAATTATTTATTGCTAATAAATAGCCCGAAATCCAATGGGATAATTGCCAAAACCTGTACCCCACCTGTCCAGTACACACCCAGCTAATCATGTTCACAAATTCATACAAATCCCTACAAGTGGTTCAAAGTCCCCCAAAGCGCCCATCACAAACCTACAAAATGTCACAAAATGGTGACTACAACCCTGAAAATTGTTACAAAATCTCAACTACAACCCTACAAACTGGACTCTTCTTGACTCCACACCAGCTGAATGGCTATATACAGGTATACAGTTTGCTCATGATACACGCCCAATGTGTCATAAGGTTCTCGTGAGGTCATTGTAGAAATAGCGCAGTAGATTCAGGGTAGTCGATTAGACTAGAGTGGATGTACAGTCGATAGTGAAAATTGCTGAAGTACTACGAGGCTACAGCACATATATATACAGTCCAGAAACAGTCCAAGCATCCCGTATGTGCCACAGGTCATCCAAATTGCTTTTCAGCACGTTGCTCTTGTTGTGGCAGTTTCCCACGCTCTGACCCATCCAAGCGTGTCAAGCACGTCAAGCGCCAACACTCCCCCTCAACGCGTGCAATCCTATTTTCTCACGGAAGTCTTGAAATTTCTGTCGCCCTAGTGCCTTCGTGAAAATGTCAGCCGGGTTATCGGTCCCCGGGACTCGTTTGACCTCAAGATCTTTGCGCTCCAAGATGTGTTCACGGATGAAGTGGTATTTGATATTGATGTGGCGGGTGCGGCTGTGATCTGTCGGATTGTGTGCTAGGGCGTGAGTGCCATTGTTGTCTCCATAGATAATCGTCGGCCCATCTTGAGGAAATCCTAGTTCCGAGAATAGTGATCGGAGCCAAATCGCTTGGCTCGCGGCTGAGGCAAGTGTGACGTATTCAGCTTCGGTGCTGCTGAGAGTGACGGATCTTTGCTTCTTTGATGACCATGATATCGCGCCATTCCCTAGTAGGAAGACGCTGCCTCCAATCGATCGTCTGTCATTGACATTTCCCGCCCAGTTGGAGTCCGAGTATCCGTGAGGGCAAATGCCGTCTGTTTGTCCGTTGTAGACCAGAGCCAGATCCCTAGTCCCCTTGAGGTACTGTAAGACACATTTTGTGGTGTTCCAATGTTCTGGTGCTGGGTTCTGCGAGAATTGCGCCAGTGTCTGGACTGCGTATGCAATATCGGGGCGGGTACCAACCACAAGGTACATCAGGGAGCCGACTGCTTCCCGATAAGGGACATTTGCCATTTCCGGATGTGAGGCACCTTCAGGTGTCTTGCATAGTTGCAGCCCCTCGTCCATTGGGGTGGATATTGGGTTTGACTGGTCCATTTTGAAACGTGCTAAGACTTTGTCAATGTATGCTCATTGACAAAGGTGTAACGTCTTTCGTTCCCTGTCTCGGATAACTTCAATGCCGAGGATGTGCTTGATCGGTCCAAGCTCTGACATTTGGAAATTCGTTTTGAGTTCATCCTTAAGCTGAGCAATAAGCGCCTTGGTTTTGGCGGCAGCTGTGAGATTGTCCACATGCACTGCAATGAAGCTGGGACCGTCATCGGTGTTACATCAATAGATGCAAGGTTCCACATTAATGATTTTCCATCCGCGGCTGGTCAAGAAATTGTCTAGAACTTCGTGCCACTCGCGTCCGGCTTGCTTGAGACCATAGAGGGTCTGGAGGAGCTTACATACTCTATTGGTGCCATCTTCGTACCCACGTGGCTGCTTCATGTAGATAGTCTCTTTAAGGAAGCCATTTAGGTAAGCGCCTACCACATCGAGCTGTTTGATCTCCAGATCTAGGATGGTGGCGATGGCGAGCATAATGCGGAGTGATTCGAGTTGGACAACAGGTGAGAATGTTTCCTTGAAATCTACTCCCGGTATCTGAGAGAAGCCTTGGGCCATGAGCCGTGCTTTGTACTTGACAAGGTTTCCTGCGGCATCATATTTGATGTGATATACCCATTTGTTTCCGACAGCCTTTTGATCTGGCGGTAACTCAATTCATTGATTCCAGTTGTGCGATCTCAGTGTCCATTGCTTTGCCCCAGTCCTCTCGGTGATCACTGTCCAGCGCTTGCTGATATGTTGTTGGTTCATCTTCCTCCTGCCCTAAAAAGGCAATGTGGGCATGATCATCAATCTGAGATTGATCTATGGTGTCATCTTCTGCTGCTTTTGGTTCCGGTGCCGGGTGGTTCAGGACTTTCTGTAGGGTGTGATAGTTTACCGTAACGGGTAAGCTTGCGATGCGTTTGCTTGGCTCGCGTGGTGGTGGCAGTGGACGAGCAGCTTTTGTACGAGTGGCGCGTTTGTCGTTGATGTCGGTGTTCTGCAAGTGATTGTTTGTGGTTGGGGACTCCCCCTCAATCGCAGCAGACGGGACATGAACGTCGATTGACGGGGTGTAAGTTTCAAAAATGACATTCCTTGACTTGCCAATGCGGCGTTTGCCCTGCTCCCAATAGCGCCAGGCTTTCGAGCCATCAGCCATGCCTACAAAAACCACGGGTCTGGACTTAGGATCCAGCTTCCAGTGATCGTTTGATTGATCGAGCACCCAACACTTGGAGCCGAACTCCTGTAACATGGAGATGTCCGGCTTCCGGCCCATAAACGCTTCCTCGGGGGTGATGTGACCCAGAGGCTTGGTAGGTGATCGATTCTTGATGTAGCACGTGTATGCAACCGCCTTGGGCCACAGAAACTTAGGCAAATTGTGCGTGATGAGCATTGCACACGCGTGCTCTAAGAGAGTGCGATTGAGGCGCTCCACAATGCCATTCTGTGCCGGGGAATGGGGTGCCGTGGTTTTGAGGATGATGCCGAGGCTGTTGAGTTTGGCGATAAAGTCTTTATTGATGTATTCACCACTGTTATCTACGCAATGATATGCACTAACACACAACAACACCAAAGACCAAAAAGAAATAAAACCTAAAATACCCAGTGGTATGGGTGGAGGCGGTCTAAGGCGATTGAAGGGTAATATTTAAGTTCGAAGGGAGGGGGAGAAGTAAGACGCCGTAGGGTAGCCCGTAGGAAAACCTAAATAAACAAAATCTTGAGGCCTGAAACAAACAGTATAGCGATTCTCCGGAGTATTTATCTCCGAAGTTTGCCAGTAGCCCGGGTGGGGAGTTCCACTGAACCCACACAATAGTCTCTTGCCTACAGACGCTTGGTGAATTTTATACTTTAAATCCGGGGCTTACTAGGATCGATATGCGACGGCAGAGTTATTTAATTTCGACGAGTCAGGCCTATTGGCAAAGCTAGGATCGATTGTAGACGCTAAGTCCGACGCGAGGGGACTTCGAGGGTCGCTGAGACGGTAAATCTGATACGCTGGGAGGGTGAAGTACAAAACTTGTATTTTCTACTATGCTCCATACATTTTTATGCCATTGGAATGGCTTTGCGCCCGTCTGGAGTTAAATAACAAACATGCTCTGCAACCCACACAATTATTCAGCCTTTGCCCACTGCTATACCACGTCCCATACGATCCTGCCGTGTTTCCACATGCTCGTCCTAGGTCCTAGAGGTAGCCTCGACGCGTCAATGTTTGCTTAAAGTGCCTCATCATGCGGTACTGCAGGCCGATCACATGCGGTTTAGCTCCGGCCGTTTGCTGACTGATACGTTCCATCCGGCCATCGATTTACGTCCGCTGACTCGGTCGCTTGACGGCAACGAAGGGGCGTGATGACTGGGGAGTGGCAACAATGACTCACTGCGACGCGGGCCTCCGCCGTTCCCGGAGATAATTAGTCACAAAGGTATTCTCCCGGGTGACTTCGGAGCGTCTGTTAGTGATCTGCACCTGCCTTGGGGACGTTAGAAGGTCCAG